GACGGCTTGACCGCGCCAGAGTTGGCGATGCACGGCCCAGTCGAGCGCGAGCTTCAGGGAACGCCGGTACAGCGACCTTAGCAGACGTTAGCAGCCAGCTCCATCTGGAATGTTGCCCTGCTCCTCCAATTGAACTGACAGAGTCGCCTGTTTCGTCGACATGGCGTCGTGAGAGACGTGTGGTACTCGGAGCCCGATCGATGAGCTATTCTTTGAGGTTGGCAAGCGGCCTTCGCGACCGCCGTATCGCTTACTTCCGAGTTTCAGAGGCCGCAATTGAAGGACGGGGTGTCGAGAGCGCGTTTGGCAGCCTGGCACCTCGCGGGATGGCGGCAAGCGAAGTGAGGTTGTATTCCTGGGTCTCTTATGCTTAATTACGTTGGCGATTGGAGAAGTTGCTCGCGCGTGTGGCCGGAGCTGTAGTGATGCCTGAGGCCTCAAGCCGTGGGGTTGAGACAGGGCGGATTAATGGTTGCCCCAGGTTCCGGGTTTGCTTCGGAAACATGGGACCAGCGTAGGGGCAGCCGGCAAGCTGACTCGGTTGGATGCGGGCCTGGGTACCTCCATACCTTCCGGAATGCCATGCGCTCTGAGGTCACTGGCCGCCAATTGGAGGAAGCGCGTGCAACCGCAACACCCAGTTCCACAACCCCTTGCACGATTGAGACCAGAAAGCTGCCAGCTGTGCCTGCCGCACCCAATTTTTCCTCTGTTTCTTCCAGCATCGCGAATTGTCGTCATTCTTTCCTTCTTTGCGCAATCCGTCTTTGGGTTGCAACGTTGACACCCCCTGGCGTCGTTCCTCCAGTTTTTGTCTGTCGACCGTAACGGTCATTACTAGCCAAATCTTTTCCCTTTGCCCGAGACCCCTATTCACATTGTCGACGCGCGATCTGATCCCGCAGCCAAATTTCACTCAAGCAAAGCACCACCTCCTCGTTGCCTCGATCACAGATCCCAACATGCTCTACCGAGGACTCCGCGTGGCAGCCCGTGTCGCCCCAAGATTCTCGCTCTACAATGCCAATCCCGCATTGCGCCAGCTCCCTCTCCAGTTCCAGCATGTGCGAACATACGCCGACAGCATCATCAAGGTGCCTCAAATGGCCGAGTCGATCAGCGAGGGTACGCTCAAGCAATGGAACAAGCAGGTTGGCGACTTCGTTGAGCAGGACGAGGAGATCGCGACGATCGAAACGGACAAGGTATGTGCCAGAGCAAGTGCGACCAGTGCCCGCAGTGCGACTGACACGTTTGTGTTTGCTCTAGATTGATGTCGCTGTGAATGCGCCCGAGGCCGGTACGATCAAGGAGTTCTTGGCCAATGAGGAGGACACTGTTACGGTCGGTCAGGATCTTGTGCGCATAGAAACTGGCGGTACACCACCAGCCGGTGGCGACAAACCGGCGGAACCCAAGGAAAGCACACCGGCACCCAAGGAGGAGGCGCAACCCAAGAAGGCAGAGCCCAAGGCTGCAGAACCAAAGGCTGAGAGCAAGCCCGCTGCCCCGGCGGCACCCCAGAAGACTGAGGCTGCGCCGAAACAGGAGAACAAGCCGGGCCAGGCATCCCAAGCGCCGGCTACCCTGGGCAACCGGGAAGAGCGGAGAGTAGGTCATTGTCTTGACGTGTTAGTGGACGTGGTCTAACTGTTTTCCGTAGGTCAAGATGAACCGCATGCGTCTCCGCATTGCTGAGCGTCTGAAGCAGTCCCAGAACACCGCGGCATCCTTGACAACATTCAACGAGGTCGATATGTCTGCGCTAATGGACTTCCGCAAGAAGTACAAGGACGAGATTCTCTCCAAGACTGGCGTCAAGCTTGGCTTCATGAGCGCCTTCTCGCGCGCTTGCGTGCTCGCGATGCGCGATATCCCGGCCATTAATGCCTCCATCGACGGCCCCAACGGCGGTGACACAATTGTTTACCGCGACTACGTCGACATCAGCGTCGCTGTTGCTACCGAGAAGGGGCTCGTGACGCCGGTTGTCCGTAACGTTGAGGGACTCGATCTTGTGGGCATTGAGAAGGCAATCGCCGACATGGGCAAGAAGGTTCGTCGCCCTGATTCTTATGGTGTAGAGGACCCAAAGCTAACAATGGGAAGGCTCGCGATGGCAAGCTCACCATCGAGGATATGGCTGGTGGCACCTTCACCATCAGCAACGGCGGCGTTTTCGGTTCTCTTATGGGTACACCCATCATCAACCTCCCCCAGACGGCGGTGCTTGGTCTGCACGCCATCAAGGAGCGCCCAGTCACTGTCAACGGCAAGGTTGAGTCTCGGCCCATGATGTACCTCGCCCTGACATATGACCATCGTCTGCTTGACGGGAGGGAGGCTGTGCAGTTTTTGGTGAAGGTTAAGGAGTATATTGAGGACCCCGCTAAGATGCTGCTGTAAACCCAACGTAGCGTCAGACGTATAGACACCATGAGCATCGGCGTTAGAGCTTGTATAGGAGGACTGTTCGGCATCGCTGCCTTGTAAAATAATAATACTGTGCCATCAAAAGTTCAGAGGACGTTTACATTTGCGCGGTATTGCTCCAGAGTCTGGTCAGTTCATGCTCACGCTGCAGGTGTCTTGGCTCTGAACTGACTTTGAGGGCCTGTTCTAGTGCGAGGAACCAAAAAATGTGGCAAGAGAACTCCAAATCCTTCATTTTGTGTTTCATTAAGATATACGCTTTAGACAACATCGTTAAGCAGAAGGGGGCATTTGCTAATTTATTAAGTCATTTGTGGTTATCAGTTCTTGCAGTGTAAGATGAGGGTTATAACAGGAGTGGTCTTTAGGCTTTTTTAACGAGGCAAATTTAAGAGGTGATATACTGAAGTAATTAGGTAAGCAGAGGTATAGAAGAGGGCCTTCGGTGAGGTGGGAAAGGAGATGGAGGCAATGAATTAGAGCATATGATTACAAATCATCACCGTTTTATATTAACGCTTATAAGTTATAATCTTTATACAGGGGCGCCTGTTTTATATATACTGTTTACTTATATTATAGTAATATATCTGTTAAATTCTAGCCTCTGAGAGCGCTAAAGAGGCCCTGTATTTACAGGGCCTGCCAGTGAGGAAGGCGCTGGGTACCCTGCACCTGCAGCCACCCACTAGCCACAATGTGGCTTCGAACCTTCTGGAATCCAGAAGGCCTCAGGGCCTTCAGGGGGCCACAGAAGGCTCTGGAAGCCCACAGGCTTCCACAACCTTCTGAGGCCACATCAGTGATTACGAGGCCTGTGGAGAGCCTCCACCATACTATTCTATTATTGTATTAGTAGTAGAAAGCTCTGGAATTTCCATTCCAGAGCTCCCACAGCCTATAACTAGCCATCTCCTCTCTTGTAATTAGCTTTCCTTACAAGCAAGCAATCTACTTCCTTCAGTTGAGTACTACTCACTGAAGCAAGCAATTCACAAGCAATACAGTCGTTTATTACAGTGCAGAGTTCACTGAAACCTTCTGTTTTACAGCGCATAGTTCGCTGTAACTTGTCTTTTAGGCTCTGTAGTACAGGCCTTCGTTTGCTTCCTTCAGCACCTTAGTAAGCTCTGCTGTCGTACCTCACAGCGCTCCTCCGGAGCACTGTACTCGCATTTCTTCCCCTGACCGGAGCACTGTACTACAGGCTCCCACAGGCTCTCAGGCGCTGTAATACAGGCCTGTAGAGTGCTACAAAGCAACAATATCATTGTAATTGAACACAGCTTACAGTCCTCTTTTACAACATTGATAAGTAAGGTATACCAATAACGTGTTACAACCTCTGGCCTGTCGACAGACGGTCGGCAGGGTCGCTAGATAGGATGGGTGGGTAGAGAGGAGTAGTGCAGAGGCAAGTCCTTACAGACAGGGGGTTCACTGGTCAATGGTGGTCGTATGTCACTATAAGACAGAGCAACACTCCAAGTGTTAGTGCAGTAGGACACAATCGAAAGTGGTTCAATTAACGAGCGAATACTTACGTAAGGAACAGAAGGTTCCTCACACTATTATGGGTACGATGATAGCTATCTATACTAACTAATAGAGATGTAACTTGTACCTTGATTACTCTGATCACTGGGCTTGTTCAGTGAGCAAGGTGATTAATAGTCTTAGCGTTTATCGTGATCACTCCTTCCTCTTAGTGATTAGGGTGATTAATCCGTGTGTGCGTTTTGGTTTACACTGTCTGCACACTGTGGCACCTGCGGGGACACGTCGGTCCGTTCCGACCTATAAGGGTGGCCCGCAGGTTGTCACACGATTCCCCCTCTTCATTATCCTTTTTTTATAAAGGCTCCGAGGTGTGTTTTTCCTCCTAATAACTATTATAATTATACCTGTTAATGTGATTAAGAGATAAAATAGGAGAACGAAACCCTTATCTACTGACTGTCGTCTTGAAAACGCCCTTTTCATTAGTACCTTTGGTATTATTATACCGGTCTGTTACTCCTGTTACACGCGCCTTGACCTGGAGTGTAAAACGGCTAGTAAGAGCGAGTTTTACGGGAATTACATCGGTGTTAGGGGCTAGGTTTACTTATCGTGTAATATCCATGGTAATAACCCGATAATCCTCCGGAACGTTATTAAGGAAAAACAACGTCTGGACGAGGAAAAGCGCGAGGTGTTTATCTAGCTGCAGGCTAACCTGGTTAAGCTTAATCACCTAAAGGACTAACGGAAGGGGTTAGTACGTTAGGCAGATAAGCTCTTTAAGCACGAGTTAGTAATATAAGATAAGGAGGAACGTTAGTAAGTCCTGACCGCTCCCGATCTTATGGAGTCCGGTCTCTCCGAAGTGTTAAACTGGGGGGCGTTTCTAAATGGTGGTATAATTGCGGGGTCGCTGCTACTGGTGATAACCGCTTCTTAAGGTAGGTTGTCGCTTCCTTTAGCTTGGGTCTGTTGTTAACAGTTGTTTAGATCTATTCTGGGGAAGGTAGTCCAGCTACCAGGCTAAGGGTTATAGTAACAAAGGTGAGTTTTAATAATGGAATGGTCCGTTAGCGCAGTGGTTAACGCGCTTACTTTAGGTCATCTTTTGTGAATAATCGCGGTTTATTCACAAAGGATTACCCTTAGTGAGAGGTTATAGGTTCAAATCTTATATAGGTTACTACCTTTAACTTGCTGTTTCACCTATTAGGTAAAGCCGTATGTTGAACGGTTTTTTACATGGTTAACAGTGTTATTATAGTGCCTTTCACGCCATAGTCCTCTAGGGGTGGCGTCTTTTTACTGGTTATAGTTGATCTGGATTTTCGCGGTGGAATTTCTCGATTAGTTCAGGGCAGGAGAGATTATCAACTAACTCCTAAGAGTTCAACTTAGGGCTGTAATCTAGCTATCTGATAAGATAATAAAGTTTACCTTTACGATATTATAAATCTAGGATTTCTTCGATATTAAAGTCTTCTTCATCAATGTGTACTTTAATCTTCTTCTTAAGCGGGACGTTCCTTAGTGCTAGCTCGAGGAGGGAAACGTGAAAAACCTTAGTCCATACCTTTATAAAGGTGGGTAGATCGAGTTTGTAATTAAAGGTAGCGATCTTCCTTTTAATAAGGAACGGTCCGAGTTTTTTAAAGTCAAGTTTACAGCTTGGCCGTTAAGTGTGTAAATTTCGCGAAAAAAGGTAAACTGGGTCTCCTTCTTAGAGAGTCGGTCCCTTGGCTTTTTTATTATCGTAATATCCCTTTATTCGTTTACAGGTGAATTTAAGTTCGGCCCTTAAGTGGTTATATAACTCCTAAAGTCAGTTGGCTCGGACGGCAGCTTAGGGCGTATTTGTAAGTAGCCCCTTGCGGAGCTCTGGTTCCCGGCTGAAAAGTGTGAAGAATAGGGAGATCTTAGTTGATTTAACGATAATAGTATTATAGGTTATCTGTGCTGTTAGTAATAGCTTAAGCTAGTTATCTTGTTTAAAGTTGATAAACGCTTGGAGGTATATTTTAAGGGTTTGATTTAGGTGCTCTGTTTATCTGTTAGTTTAAGGGTAAAAAGCTATTAATAGCTTGCTTTTTACACCTATTTGTTACATTAATCCTTACCAGAACTTAGAGATAAACAGCTTATCTTAATTAGAAACGATATTATTAGGCCAAAGGTGTTAGGAGACGATATGCCGCTTAAAAAGGTAAGTAAGTTATTTAGCTGTCGTTTATTTTAAATATGGTAAGAAATATGCCTATTTTATCAGTCTATCGATAACTACCTAGATAGAGTTGTGGCTGACGTTTATTACTGGATCCTTAGAGTTGGGGATCTTAGTGATAAAGTCTATTAAAATAGAACTCTATGGTGTGTGGGGGGTTAGAAGTGGTTTAAGAAGCCTGTAAGGCTTATATCTACGTGTTTTTATTGAGTTACAGATATTGTAGTTATTGATAACCTCTTCCACTAGCTTTTTTATTCTTAAAAAGGCGTATTTTTATTATACTTGTGAAAGCGTTTTCGCTTTTCCCATATGTCTTTTAATTCTTGCTTTATATATTTATTAAATATACTTCTTCTGTTTTAAGGGTGTGTAGATATAGGGTTTCCCTTTATAAAAAAGGAGATCACTTAATTAGGGTCTTTTTTCTATTTCTTTTAATAGTTTATTAGCTTTTTTGTAATCTGGGTAAGGTCCTTTGACTTAACAGGAGGTGTTACAGTACCTGGGGAAGTCCTGCCTTTTTGCCTGATAGTTATCTTATTGCCATTTAATACGGTATTTTTAGTAGGAGTTGGTGAAGAGTTGAATACTATCGTTAACTTCCCAGTCCGGGTATTAGTTTATGAAAACCTGTGCCTCTTCTGGTATCCAGTTATCTAAGATTTACGGTGTATGTTTTAGGGTTTTATCGGCTGCTAGAATAAATATTATAACTGGTTTGAGGTCTTTAGTGTTCTCCTGGTGGTTATAGCGACGGCTAAGGGCGTCAGCCCTTCTGTTTTCCGTTCCCTTAACGTGGTGGATCTTAAAATGGAATGGTGCTATTAACTCAGCCTATCTTATTTACCGGGGACTGAGTTTCTTTATCAGGAAATAACATAGGTTGTTATGGTTGGACAGGACCTTAACTGGTTCCTCTGTACTACTAAGGTAAGGAGCCTATTCTGTAAAACACTAGATGATGGCTATTAATTCCTTATCGTGGATGGGGTATCTTAGTACTAGCCTATAGATCCCTTTTAAAAGGAAGGCCACGGGGTGTTAAAGTCCGTCGTCACTTATTTAGCTTAGCACTCCTTTATAAGTGTAATCGGAGGTGTCGGTCTTAACTTGGAAAGGTTTTGAAAAGTCGGGAAGTGCTAACACTGGTGTGGTAGTAAAGGCGCGTTTTAATTTATTAAACGCCTTTTAATGTCGTTTAGTCCACGTAAATAGCTTTCCTTTACCCGTGAGTTCGTGGAGCGGTTTAACAGCCTTAGTAAAGTGTTATATAAACCATCGATAGAAGTTTATAAAGCTAATAAAGGCTTAAACTCCTGTTTATGAAGTGGGTGTTGGCCAGTTTGTGACAGCCTTGATCTTTGACTTCTGTATCTCTATCCTTTTGGGTGAGATTTTGAATCTTAGGAAATCGAGTTCCTGGACGTGGAATTAGCTTTTATTAGGGTTTACCGTTAAGTTAGCCTTTTTTAAGGCGGAGAGGACGAGATAAACATACTTATAATGTTTTTTATCTCCTTTTAAGTAGATAAGGATATTATTAAGGTAGACGAACACAAACTTATCGATAAAGGGGCGGAGAACGTGGTCAATTATACTTTAGTATGTTACGGGGGTGTTAGTAAGCCTGAAAGGTATCACCTGATATTTGTAATAGTTTAGGTGTGTTTAGAATGTGGTTTTCCACTTATCTTTTACGGCGATTTGTTTATAACTGAACGTGTTTAGAGAATTAAACGAGGAGAACTGATCTACCCCGGTAATCCTCTCTTTAAACTCGTTAATTAAGGGCAGCGGGTATTGATTCTTAATAGTAACTTCGTTTAACGAACGGTAATTAATTACTATGCGTAATTTGCCGTCCTTTCTGGGTACGAATAATACTGGGTAACCTGCTGGTGACTGGGATTTCTGGATAAATCCTAAGGTGAGGTTTTCTTCGATGTACTCCTGGAGGGCCTTGGCTTACTAAGGGTTAAGGTGGTATGTTGGGAAAGATTTTAACTGAGCCCCTGGCTTTAGTTTGATCTTATAGTTAAAGGGTCTGTAGTCCGGTAAGTGTAACAGTTTCTCTTTAAACACTAAATACTTCTGGTATTTTTTTAAAACCTTAGACAGGTTATTTAGGGCCTGTTATTATAACTAGGTATCTTATTATCCTGCCGTCTTCCTTAGTGGTTATCGATGTAACTGTACCTTTTGGTTGTTACCAGATTTGTAACCTAAGTTGTACGGATTATCCGTCTTATAAAACCGTATCTATAATGGGGATAGTTTATTAACCTTAGCGTTTTTTGGGTCGTCCTTAGTGGGTATATTATCCGGTTTAACACTTATATTATACTGTTTGGTATACCCTTATAGTATATTAATTAGTATAATCTGGTTACTGGAGCCTGGATCTTTGGGTTTTTCCCGTCAGTTAAAACTTAACTGGCCAGCGTTCTAGTTGATCACAGGGTTATACTTCTTCAGCTATAGCTTACCTAGGATTATATTATAGCTAAAGACTGGTAGAATGTTAAAGGTTACTTATTATTCGTTGCCGTCCACCGTGATTAAAAGTGGTGCCTTATGAGTGAGCTTCCTGTTATTGTAAGTGTAAAGTTCTCCTTCTTTAAAGCGAATTGTCGTTTCTTACGCTTGTTTTCGGTAAGGGAGTTATTTCTTATTAATTAGCTTAGGGTTAATAATATCGGTAACGCTACCACTGTTAATTATTACTTATGCGTGGAATAGTTTCCCAAACCTATCCGTTACGTCCATATAGACAGACTAATGGTTTCTTTTTTCCTCGAGGTGGGTTATCATAATAGTTCTATCATTAAAAGGTCTTCCTTAGCCTAGCCGATAAGTGCCTCTTTTTCGTCTTATAGCTTTTGCCATCTAGTGGTTTACTGGTTTCTGGCCCTGGCGGAGGGCTTAAATCCGTTTCCCAGGCGGATTCGGGGGTAAGCTTTATAGATTGCTCGGACGTGGTATGTAAGGTGCCTGGTATCCTTCTTCAGGTTTTAATCGGCTTTTTAGGTTTTAATAGTGCATATTCGCCTAAACTCGGGGATAAGTGGCCATGTGTTATTTCTGAAAACGCTGTTTTCGTACGTTCCTTAATGGAACCGGTAATACTAATCACAGGTCTTAAAGTCCTGATAGATAAGGTAGGAAAGACAGGGATAACAAGCTAATATCTGTTCCTTCTTTCCCTTGTCCACGTATACCACAGGGATATTATTAAACAACGTAAGGTTTACTCCTCCTAAAAGCACCTGGTAGTAACTCTAAGGCATATCCTTATAAACACAGGCCACAGATCCTCCTTCTTAGATAGTAGGCCAGTGGTTATAGTATGTCTTTATTCCCCTATGGGTAAGGAGATCGCAGAAGTTGTAAACACAGCTGATTTAAAGGATCTTTAAATGTTCTTCCTCTCCTTAAAGGGCCCTAAGGGTAGAGGTGTGTAAGTCGAGGCTTAATATACTAAGCGTTCTTCTAGCTGTTATACGCTTCACCACAGGAATCTCTTCCCAGTCTCCCCAATGGTAAACGGAGCTAAAGGGGTTATAAATTCCTTCTACCCTTTATTCGAATTCTAGTTCGTTAACAAACCTTTTTATAGCGTTATAGAATTATCCTTAAAGGGTAAGTGTTATAAACGTTTTAGCTGCCGGGTTTATACTTTCCTTAATTATATAAATCTCAGTTAATACTTTCTAGTAAAGCGATTCCAGTCCGTAAGATATGTGGTGGTTCCCTAGGTATCTGGCCATAGAAACTCGGGCTTACCGTATGTTAGGAAATTAGTAATAGTTTTTAGGAGAGACACTCCCCAGGCCACTTACTGGCGCGTTTCTGTTAAAGGCGGCCTATTCCCGGTGTTATTAACGCTCCTTCTTAGCGTTAGGTAGGCTTTTATATAACATACTTTATACGTAGTACTCCCGTGCTCTCTGGACCCACCC